ACGATGTTAACCGTTCCTACTATTACTCGCACACGGACTCACTGTACCTTCATCGATCCCAAGTGGATGAATTGCGTGAAAAGTATCCGGACGTGGTCGGTACCGGTCTGGGTCAGTTCGAAGTGAAACCGGAAAAAATGCTGGAGGCGATTTTCGTCGCGCCACGAATGTTGTATCTCAAGTTCGATTCCGGCGAGGAAAAGAAACAAGCCCAGGGTGCATTGGTGGAGACATTGACCAAAGAAACATACGAAACGTTGCTGACCGGATCGGAAGTCGTCTGCACCACGAAAAGCGGACGTAGTTTCACCTTGCGATCGAGTTGGAATGGTCGAACAAAGGTCGGGGATCACTGGGTTCCAATCAAATAAAAAAAAAACTAATTTCACAAAAATTGAAATTAGTTTAAACAATTAAAACTAGATTTCAAAATAGCCATGGAAACTCCAGTCGCGACAAACCCTCCTACTACTCCAGTCCAAGAGATTACAGTGAATGCCCCGTTCGATTTCGAAATCGATAAGACAAAATTTACTCACTGCCGTATTTCTCCAGTTCAAGCACTGGAATTGCCGGTGTATGAATATGTCAAGGGTGTGTTGATTGATAAGTTTGCCCGGCAAGTGAAGTTTGCGACGAATGATCCGGTTCTTGTGGGTCAATTGGTTTCGTTGTACGAGACTCTGGCGACACAACTGAAGCAGTATTATCCCGATCGTGAGCTCGAAAAGCCATTTAAGATGATTAACGAGGGTACGCTGGTGATGTTTATCAAGCTCGACAAGGATAGTGCGTTCATCGGCGCGAACACCCGGAGGCCAGTCCAACCCCGCATCGGCTTCCCACTCGTCGGAAGATCGGTCGTTCGTATTGACAAGATCAATGTCGGTGCCAAATTGCGAATGAATGTCGTGTTGGCCAGTATGGAGGTGAATTGAGGCACTTTCCAAATATATTACAAATTTTCAAAAACATTTGCAAGTCTTTCAACAAGATTTGCAAATTTCTATTATATTAGGAAGGTGGTCCAAAATCATCTATTTCTGTTTTCTACAGAAATATATGTATAAATACATGAACGGGAATCTAAAATGCCACCCAAAAAGCCCGTCGATCCAGCTCAAATGCTCCGTCTGAAAGCGATGCACGATGAAGATGCACTCGTGATTAACGATCTTGAGCGTCATTTCGATCGATTGACTCGTTTGTTCGATTCACGATGTGAAGATTTGCGAGCGGAACGCGCGACTATCGCGAGCACTGATTTCGATAAGCAGGTGGAATTGTATTTTAGTACTGCGAAGCGATGGGAACAATTCCGCGAAACTCTGCGCAAACTGGCTAAGTTTGCGGGGGCTGGCGGACCTTTGATCGAACGATCAAATTAACACTTGTATTTAAAAAAATACAAGTGTATCTAAAATGATGTACAAACGCATTACGCCAGCCTCCCTGCGCTTCACGACTACAAAACCCAACAAAGGTGTGGAATTGTCAAGGTTTGGAAATAACCAGCTTCATCTTGTCAGTCAAAATCGTTTCTTTATCAAGAAGTTGAAGGCATTTCACGCTCAAACATTGGCTGAACTGAAGCATCAGGACCCTAACGCTCAATTAGCGGATCTGGATTTACGCAATGGACTGCTGAAGATTGACATTGAAGACAGGGGTGGTTCTTATTGTGGGCCTCCTGATATGAAACTGATTCCTCAAAAAACATATGTTGGGCGAGAGTTCGAAGGTTTAGGTTATGTGCAAGTTAGAAATGTTGTCAGAAAGAACGGGGTCTGGACGTTACGGTTTGAGATCGAAGGGTTTCGAATGAGACCGGTCGATTAAATGAGACGACTGGCGCGATTTTTAATTTGCTCCAACGTTCTCCGTCGATAAATGTCGAATAGTTTATGACGATAGGACATTCTCTGCTTTTCCAACTCCTTGAGTTTTTGCATAACGAAAATTTCATCCGATTCCAGCATTTTTAGATTGCGCGAAAAATATTAAATGGTTTTCATTTAATATTTCAATCGAAGTGGAGACCACTTATGATGAGAGTGAATACAGCAATTGGTATCTCTCCAGTCGGCGGTTGAAAGACTCTAATTCTTGGACTGATGTGCATCAATGCGGAGTGTTCCTTCCCGTGGAGGGCGTCTAACATTGCTGGAGGCTTGTCCTTATCTTCTACAGAGTTAAAGTGATATGGATAAAAATCAATATTTTCCCCACCGGATACGTGTAGTCGCCGACCTGTTTCCGTTTTCACAAAAGGATTGACCAAGATACAATCGGGAACTAAAATCGAAAATTGACGAGAGACATGATCCCATAAATCGTCGAGTCGTTGGCATGCAATCGGGTCGGACACTTCGGCCTCTGTTTCCAGCAAGTTATAATCGGTATCCGGTATTCGCCTGTGATAACGAATTCCGCGACAAAAGTACGGTACTTTTAATGTGATAGGCAGGATGTAGTCGGTCACAGTCTCGCCACGGAGACACGTCACTCGACGAGGTTCTCGAATCCGAACTTGCGAAACATCACGCGGACTGGAGTATTCGTCGCGATCGGCATCATCAAGTAGGTAGTCGTATTCGTCGTCATCGGAATCGCCGTCATCGTATTCGTCGTTCTCGTTCTGCGTCATTTTTTAGATTGCGCACAAAATATTAAATGGTTTTTATTTAATATTTTATTTTAGTTCCAACTGGATTGTGCATGCTTGCGACAGATGCCAGCGGATGCGATCTTTAGCGACTTCAGCTTCTTCACAGTCCGATATCAGTGTTCTCTCGACAATGAAAGAATAAATGTCATCCTTGTATGAATCCACCAGTTTTTGGAGTTCTGAAAATGAAAAATTAACCCACGAATTCCCATCATCTGAGAGTCTCTTGACGACGATACCGTAGCCATGCACATCTCGAGCTTGAATGTTCTTATCCAAAGCAGATGCCAGGTCACGCAAGATATCATACATGATTCCGTCTTGATACTGTCTATAGAGATACTTGATATGAGGATTAGGTACGGGATATTTATTGGAGAGGTAGTCGAGAAACTCGGTTTTATTCCACACGTTCGGTCGGGATTCCGCCATTTTGATATCAAAATTTATTCTAATTTTGCCATCAGGTCGAACACCCGACTCTTGTAAATGCACAACAAAACCTCAGTCACGACCACATATAGTCCTCTGACATCTTCCGTTTCATCGCATCCCATATCGACATCATGCATTTCAGCTCTCACGATTGTTTTGAGTGTTTCTTTTAATTCGCCGTGATTGAGGGTATCGAAGTGTATTTTGAGATCGTGCAGGTTTGAATGACGGATCTTTGCAACTGCGCTCTCAATCTCAATCATTCCTCTTCCAACCGCTCCAGTCATTTTGTATCGCGCATAGGCACCCTTGTTGGGATGAATCATCAGTTCGCATCGACCGCAAATGTTTTTCTTCATTTAAACTAATTTCAAACTATTTATTTTGATATCAATTTGATATCAAAATTTATTGATTCAGCACGGCCAGAATGGCGGATCGCACTCGGTCGTACATGACAAAATAATACGGACGAGGCGAATTCTTGGTGACTTCGTTCTCATACCAATTGTCATACACTAAATTGACTTGTTGGTTGATAAACTCATCGCGTTGAGTCGCGGTCTGTGCTTTCAATTTGGCAATCGTGTCCTTGATCTCAGCCAAATCCTTCGCACCCAACGCCACACTGCCAACGGTGCTAAATAACTGAACCCCTGGCAACGGAATATACTGCAAAATGTTTAACGCATTCCGAAGACCGGTTTCAATCACCGTCCATACCGTTTTGGAATTGAATCGTTGGCTAATCACATTCCCACGCGAACTCGCCCAACATTTGGAGGAGGCAATTATCATTTGTGTTGCATCATCGATCACGGCTCCCGGCTTCGTCGCCTCCCGCCAATTTGAAATTAAGTCCTCCGGTAGGTATTGCAGTTGCGGACCGATGTATTTCGTCACAATCTGAGCGTTTGTTCCCTTCAATCCATCCTTGACGGATTTGAATAAAATGAGCATTTTCGCCCAATCTTTCTTGGCGGTGTGATCGCGGATGTAATTCAGATAATTTAACACCTGCGCCGGATTGGCTTTGGCAATATCCACCCGTCCAAACAAGAGAAGTTTGCTCATGCTCGATACGTTCTCCTCCCGATTGGTGGGGGCGTCCGCCACCACCACCTCTTTGATTCCCTGCAAAATGATATTCATTTGAGAATCAACCCAGAATTTTGGAATCGATGGATTATACGGTTGAAGGGAATAATGAGGAAAATAGTTGGTTAGATCTTCTCCCGCGGAGCTGGGAAAATCACCGCCGACTTTTTTTAACTGGAACTGCGCCATTCCACCATCCACCTTTGACAAATAGTCTCGCAATAATGCCCCCTTTTAAATCCACCCCAATCCGGCGCCGGCAACGGAGTCAAATCCTCCGGATCGACTCCTTGTTTCTCCAACGATTTTCGATCGGATTCGGTTTTGCGCGAAAATACTTTCTCCAAAATCCAAGTGGCTCGTTTTTCAGTCGCTGTTAAATCTTTCTTTTGGAGTAACTCTTTTGCACCGCCCAAAATAATTAAATCAGCCTGATACCGATGCGCCACATCGGAATATTTGTTGTAAAAGTAATCATGCACAACCGCCAATGCATCCGCCCGATTTTTGGGTTTCCATCCATCACCATCACGATTCAAACGATCCACAAATTTAGTCCCGGGGCCCATGAAACTCATTTTCTCGTGAGTCACCGGATCAATCCAATGCGCTTCAAAGGGTAAATGATTAATAGCCCAATTGGTACCGTTGGACACGGCCTTAATCACTGCGTCTTTCGCTTGCTGGACTTTTTTTGGCCCCATCGACCAGGCCTTCACCGGACTTCTTCTTCTTCCGCTGTTCCCGTTGCTCATCGATGAATTGGTTGTACTCCTCTCGAGTCATCCCGGATGGCGTGGCCATATCCAGTCTCGTATCACCGGTGTAACCCTTGACAAACATCCCTCCAGACTTTTCCTGCTTCAAGAATCGAGACTTTTGGGCACCGCAAACTCCGCACTTGGATTTGCGCTGGAGTCGTCCTTTTGGAGTGGTGACCTCGGCGGGATCCACATCCTCGGTTTTAGATTTGCATCGCAGACAATACGTTTCCATTTTACTGGTAAAATGGAAATGTTTTTATAGTTTTTTCTCGTTTGCGAACAATTCACTCGGAGTTGCACTGAAATCCAAAAGTACATCCGTGAATTTTCGACCGTCCAATAGCTGATCAATCACATCCAAACAAAACCATCCACAGGCGACACTATCCGGATCTTGGACTTGTCGAATGGAACCGATAATCTTTTTCCCACTCGTTTTCATAAATTTCTTCACTTCTTCCGGCGGATCCAGACCAAAGCTATCAAAGTAATAAACATACTCCGGATCCACATTATACACACACACCCAATGGGTCCCCGGTCCCGCTTCAGTATCAAAATTCACGAGATAAAATTTGTTGGCAATCTTTTTCGGCAAATCATCTCGAGAAAACCATCCACCATACCGTTTATTTTGACCATAATGGTCCTCGATGTCGAAATTATTTAGCAACTGCAGGATCTTTCCAGTACGGGTAGTGCTTGGACGACGCTCTTCCCGCCTTTTTTTTTAGCATCGCCACCGATGGCCTTCGTGACACCGTACGACACTAAACTACGAGTCGCACCTTCAATCGCGCCTTTCGTGGCATTTCGAATGGCGGTGGAGGCGAGAGCTTTCCCAACGGTACTGGTGACAGCATTGACAATGGCACCGACGGGAATCGAAAATCCACCCTCTTTGATCATCCGTTTCGTGGCTCGGAGTTGAATATGACTCAACGTCAAGAGCCGATAGGATTTGTCCCCGTGCAGTTTGGCGACTTGTCGGGCGGTGAGATGGAGCTCCATATTCGGATCGTCCAATGAAACTTGGAGTCGAAGTTTGCCGGTCGATTTCGAAAGGAAATACCGTTCGAGCTCTTTCAAACCGGCATCGGCGAGATGAACTGGAGTACGCTGATATTCTGTCATTTTAAAAGACAAATAAAAATCTTTTAGAATGTATTTATTTTACAAATCTTCGATGGTAACGGAACCGTTACTGATCACGATCTTGGTGCGACGCTCGCAATCCAGAATCGCCATCAGGTTATAATTGAGTGCATTACCGGCGAAATTGTTTTGGGCAACGAATTTGGCATCGAAGGAAGCCTCGATACGGACATCCTTTTCCGCATCACCACTGGCGACGGGATTTCGATGCAACGGTAAATACACAATTCGATGCAGAGTCTTCCAATCCAGGAACGAGACTTCCGTACCAGTCGTTGGATTGAACGGATCATGTTCCGCATCACAGAACAATTTGTACATTTGACGCTCATTGAGTGTTGTTTGATACAAATTTTCACCGCCACACTTGATTTGCAAATTGTCGAGCCAGCACTTGTCACCGCGATACGCAAATGGTTCGCACGAATCGTAGCTCAAATACTCCGACTGTGAAGTCACGCTATCGACGCCGAACAAAA